AGTCAGTCTTGACACCGGGGCGTAAGTCTCCGTAAGATCATACTCATTTTTATCTTTAAAACCCCGTATTACCAGCCGTGCTTTGTGTTTCTCACATCCTTGAGCATCAACCTTTTTCTTAAGAACCCATCGGGAATCGATGATATTCGGACGTTTACCATTTACCAGTCCTGCAGGTCTGTTTACCAACTTCCAGACTTGATTCTTTGCCATTGAGTCAAGTTCTTCTTGGATGGCTTGATTCCAGCCTTCTTTATCCACAGCCTTCATTGCTTCTTTATATGAAGCTGGATCTTTATTTATTTCTGCCAGCAAAGAGTGGTAAACTAGATCTTCCACATAAACGGTGTTATGTCCTGACGTTTCAGTATCACCGTTCTTAAAAATTAGATCTTTTGTTACTTCTTCCCCGAGAGCTAAGCCCGCAAAGCTGACGTCTTTTACACAACTTTCTTGGACCAAGTTGGCCTCCATTGTTTCTATCAGTCTTTTCGGCCTTCCTCTTTTCCGTTGTACCTCCGGGGGTGCTTCCTCCGATGATACTGTCTCTTCTCTTTCCTTTTCGAATTTTAAAAACCACTCGTCTAATTTAATATCTACAGTCACATTTTCCCAGTTTTTAATTGAATTTTTACCAAAAACGTCTCCATACACAAAACGCTCGTTAAATCTGACGTCCCGACTTTCATAAAACTTTCCTTTGTCTGGACAAAGCAGACGATACCCTGTTGGCGTGTATCCTACCATAACTGCTCGTTTCCCTTTTGCATGGAATTTAGTTTCAGTGTTTCTTTGAACTCTCTAATACGCGATCCAGCCGAATCTTTTCATCTGACTTACGTCTGTCCTTTTATTCGGAGCCAGCTTCATTAAAGGGATTTCCATGTTATTTGAGCAATGTGGAGTACGATTGTACGCAAATACAGCTGCGTTTAGTGCCAAGTCCAACATGTTTTCCGAGAGTCCCGAATCACATGTCAGAGCTCGGACTTTCATTTGAATTGTTTTGTTCAGCCTTTCTGACGTACCATTATGTTCAGGGGTATCCGGACAACTCAGTTGGAGTTCAGCTGCAAGGTCATTTAATATTTTTCGCACGAAGCCTCCCGTGTACTCGGTACCCTGATCAGACCTTAGATAACACACTTTAGCTTCAAACCCAAGAAGATTTCTACAGCCTTTTACAAAATTATTTAAACTCTCACCTGTATCACTTTTCTTTTTCATCGGGTAAGCGATGCAAACTTAGAATAATCATCAATAAATACCGAGATAAATCTGTATCTTTTTGGGTAAGAGGGCGGACTAATAATTTCCATTGTATCTGAATGAATTATTTGCAGGGGTTAGGATGCTCGTTCGCGTACTGAAAGGAAAGGCAGTTTTTGGGATTTTGTTCTTAAACACACATCACAAGTCTTAATCACATCATCAAATACGGCTTCTCTCAGACTTTTTACTTCCGTATAGTTTTTCTGCAGTTCCCTTAGATACCCCAACGAAGCATGGCCCAGTCTAACATGCCACAGCATGGCCCGTTGTTATCTTTAAATTTTTTATAATTTTTGCTAAACGGACTTTGAATGTCTTTTATTTCTTCGGTCAGAACTTTTTCGAATTCATGAAATTTTCTGTCATTTATTAAAAATACATCTTCAAAACTGTCATTATTTAACTTACCGACCGAGCTCTCTGAATTTTCCGACTTATTATTTGATTTTAAATCTGCAGTTGAATTTTCAGGAATAGTGTATGCTTTTGACTCAGCTGTCAAGACTTTCATTCTTTTGTTGTCCGACTTAACAAATTCAACCATCCAATAGGGTTTTTCATATATTCCCGATATCCATACATTTTCAGTATACGGATCGAAAATACAAATCTCCTTGTCATCTAAATAGATCGACAAGCCCATATCAGCAAATTTCCGCAGCGACAATAAATTCCCGATCAAGTCGCGAGCACACACCACTCCCTTCAACTCAACGTCGTTATTGCAATTTTTAAGCAGCAAATTTCCCACTCCCTCCGTTTTCAAGTCTACGGATGAGTCTGAGTTTGCACATTTTATTTTACCAATTTTGTTTCTGTCAATATTTGTCAAGAATTTTTCTAAATTTGCAAAGTGATCAGTCGCTCTCGAATCAGCGACAAATTTAATTTTATTTTCTCCATTCGATTCTAAATTATTTACCCAACCCGCAGAGTTTGAAAACAGAGTATTGGGGGGCTCGATCAACGACAGAGACTCACCTTTATTTGACCCTGAAGCATCTCGTTTTCCCTTTGTCTCCCGGCCCTGGTCAGAAACTTTCTGCCTTTTGGGATCTTTTTCGTCCCTGACGTTGCTAGAGTCGCTTTTCTGCCCAAAGTTTCGGAAATTGGAGTGGCCTCGGCCACTGCCACGGCCACCGCCGCGGCCACCTCGATTCCCTCGACTTCCATGGCCCTGCCTTTTAAAATCCCATGAATCAGACTTATTTCTCTCACCACATCTCGGGCTGCATCTCTTGTGAGCTGGGATGTCATGCACGAACGTGCCACACGTGTAACACTTCCTGAGTCCGGTACCTGCCTTCGGACACTTGTCAGCCATATGGTCCCAGTCATTACAGTTGAAGCAGCGGAGGCGGTCCTGGGGCCAAGAGGCAGTCAAAGCTGCCCTCGTGGGGCGACCTTCAGTGGCTTCTGCTAGGCCTTCTGACTCGACCTTTAACATGTACAACATGAAGTTTTCATATGCCATACCCTTTCCATCTCTGCTTTGCATTTTAAGCGTGAAGTCTGTCACCTGCGCGCTAGGTACTGCTCCGATTACGGCAGTATAAAAGACATCTCGCTTTTCTTCTTCAGAAAAGGGACCAGACGTACTTATAGTCTCATAATTTCTGACCAGTTCCTCAAATTTTTCTATGAATTTGGCAACCGATTCTTTCCCTTTGTAAAATTTAATTTTATGCAATTTTTTACGAATCGCGGCCGTTGTAAGGGGCGTCTCCCCCTTCTTATGTTCTTTCATAATTTCCAATATTTCAACCGGATCTTGCAGACAAAAAGTTCTTAAATGATATTTTTTCGTTACTCTACTTAATAAAATATCTCTGACTTTTAATTTGTCTTCTTTGATCATGTCTTCGTTATTCAATTCCGTATTTTTAATCGAAGAATCAATGACATATAGTAATCCTTTAGACCAGAGTTCAGACTTAAATTTATCGAGGAAAACTTCAAACTTTTTTATGTATTTGACTGATGATTGTCGCGAGAAGTTCCGCGCTGCCTTTTGACAAATTTTCATTTTTTGTGTCATTCAAGAACGTTTTTAATTTGTCTTGCAGACTCACCCGTGTTCTGTCGTTGCGAGGAGTTGATGACTGCAGGGGGGCCCCGGTTGACGACTGGGTCTCGGATGACTCGACCTCGGATGACTGTTCACCCACTCGCCCAACCGGGATAACCTCTGGTCAAAATTGCGCATGACCAAAATTATCTCCTCCCTTGTTCTCTCAGCCTCCTGCCTTTCTTCCTCTGCCTTACTTGCCTCCTCGTTTGCTTTCTCCTGCCTTTCAATTATCTGACTAATCGTGGCCATCATCGAGTCGAACCTGGCCAGCATGATGTTTTCTGAAAAATTTTCATTTTTCTGTTTATCTGCCATATGCAACTTCGTTTTGCTGACGTTTATCCATTTATATTTGTTTTCAATGGTTTGCACTTTCTTCATTTTAAGTTGGGTATTTTCTGGTGTGCGCGACGGGAAAGAGGGGGCTGCTTCGTGTACAGACTCATTTCCGCCTAATTTCGGCGAAATATTTTCACTGTCTA